CTCCTTGCTGGCTTGGCAGAATGTTTCTCTGATGGAGAATCGGGCCCAGAGCTCCAGAACTCGGGGCCACCGGCCTCGCCACAAGTTGTGGAGTTGGCCGCACACTGGGGAGTGTGACCTGGAGGGTGTACTGCTTTCATTCAGGGCTGATACTTCTTGATTTTCTTGCTTGAAAAATGGAAAAAGTAAGTTACTAGCACAATAGTGACTGCCTAAATATTTACTGAATGATACTGTGATGACTGTCATTATGATGACTGTCATTTATGTCAGAAAATGTTCTAGCTTACTGAGAAATACCTAAGTAACAATACAAAATATAGAGTGCTACCAAAATGCCCAGGTTTATTGGTTCAACTGGTCAATAGACATAAACCTGTCAGATAATCCATCCTTCAAGATATGAATATTCCATATACTCACTCCAAATCACACCATGAAGCCTTCTACTCCCAACTCCCCCAAAGGTTAGAAAAACATGAATGCTTATCAAAGAAGATCCTTTCTACAAAGTTATCCTTGCAAACACTAAAGAATGGGAGAGGAGAAAAAATAATCAAAACAATTTATTAAAAAGCTTATGAAAATAAGTAAGAAAAACACTAGAATTAAATAGAATACCGTATATGGGCAAAGAATCTGAACAATTAACATAATAGGGTAATTTAAAATACTAAGTGGGAAAACTATTCAATCTCACTAGCATTAAAAAATACTCATTAAACAAAAAAAAATTTACTTGTAGGCAATTTGCTAAGTTACGCTATTAAATGCTAGTACAGTATGACGAGTCAGATGCTCGTAATCTTCAAGTGAACTTGGAAATGGGTTCAATTTCCCAGAACACTATTTGGCAAATGTCTCAGAAATCTTAGTTCATAATCTTTGACACAGTAACACTCAACTTCTAGGAAAAATTTCATAAAGTCCACAAAATATCTTTGCACAAAGATATTCACTTTAACATGTGTTTAATAAAGAAAATTTAGAGCCTTATAAATTATCCAACAATAGAGGAAGTATCAATAAACTTCTTTCTAGATGATGTTTATGAGGAATTTTAATGATGGGGAAATTTTTGTGATGAAGATTACATAATTGTATGATTGCAAATTGCATCTATGTCAACATATCAATTATGTAACATGTGCACAGGCAAAAAAATGAAAGGAAACACACCAAACAGCTAAGAGTATAGGAGTATTTCTCTGAGTCTTTGAGGCTTTGGGGTGATTGTTTTTCTTCTTTATACCCTCATGTATTCTCCATAGTAAACATGCAATCATTTAAAAATGAGAGAGAAAAATAAACACTCTTTTAGATGATGACATTTCACATTTTAAAAATCTCCACGGGGTTGACGTTTCCCCCGTGGGACTCTACACTGCTTCGAAATGCTGAAAGTTTCCATCTAATGAACCGAAAGTTTGAAAGCAGGAGCAAACTCTGCCTCCTCCTTCCTCTCCTCCCATCCACGTAGGTTGAGTCTGGTTTTCCGGGGCACCGCCCGTCGGTCCAGCCCCACACTGCTCATTCCCCCGCTTCAATGCCCTCCCTCTGAATCTCATAGTTTTCTTTCACTCATCTGTTTCTTGGGGACTATCCTTTCAAAGTCACTAAAACAAACATTCGCTGAACAGCTCCTCCAGGCCAGGCTCTTTGCTAGATTCTTGGAGAGTTTTACTTCAGACCAGACGGGAGTCCTGACAGTAAAAGTGGTGCTTCCCACCTCCTGGGCACTGCCTGGGGCTGGGCAAACTGAGGAAGAGCCAATCAGTGGGCACCAGTGACGAAGTTCTGCACTCAGGCTCCTCCCACCACCCAATCTCACCCTCTCAACTGCCTGGTCCCCTAAAGAGGCCACACTCATCTTGTCACCAGGGTGGTTCCTAACAGCCACCACCTCCAGTCTCCAATGCTCCATTCCATCCCCACACTCTACTGGAATCATCTTTCTAAAATGTAAGTCTGATTATCTGCTTAACCCTGCTTAAAGCCCCTCCATGCCCCTCACACCCACCCTCTTTCCCCACCACTGCTGCTCCTGAGAAAAATTCCAAACTCTTTAATGTGGCTGTGTCATCGGCCCTTAGTAACCTTGCAGCCCCATTGGCCATCCCTCACTTGCTTACATTTTTATGTAATTACTCCATGAGCTTTGGTGGAGCACTTTCTGTGTCAGGCACCATGTTGGGTGCAGGGAGTTGGCCATGAAGAAAGACACACCCTAGCTCGTTTGGCTCAGTGGATAGAGCATCAGCCGGCAGACTGAAGGGTCCGGGATTTGATTCCAGTCAAGGACACATGTCCAGGTTGTGGGCTCTATCCTCAGTAGGGGTGTGCAGGAGGCAGCCAATCAATGATTCTCTCTCATCATTAATTCTCTCTCTCTCTCTCCCTCTCCCTTCCTCTCTGAAGTCAATAAAATATATTTTTTAATTTAAAATTAAAAAAGACACACCTAGGCCTGGAAGCCAGCCTTCACTAGCGGCTTTCTGTCCTGGCTCCTCAGAGTGTGACAGGTGGACCAGCGGCATCACCATCACCTGGGAGCAGAATCTCTGACCTTCCCCTGATTTACTGAATGGAAAGAGTAGTTCGATTCTCAGGTGACTTCCCAGGCATGTCCAAGTCTGAGAAGCCCTGTTGTTCCTCACTCTCACCTGCTACCTCCTCACTGAAGGCAATGGCAAGTGGCATCACAAACTCAATTAAGCATTCCAACAGCCTGGGGTACTCTGCCCTTCCCTTGGCCTAGCTCCCACCTACCCTTCAGTTTCTGCATGGACTTCCTGTCTGCAAGGACGACTTCCTTCCCTAACCTCCTAAGCTGGGGGTAAGTAACTCCCCTATGTGGTGTCACTATCAAGACACTATGCCTCGCCCCACCGGCGTGGCTCAGTGGTTGAGCGTCAGCCTATGAACCAGGTCATGGTTCGATTCCCAGTCAGGGCACATGCCTGGGTTTCCGGCTCGATCCCCAGTGGGGGGCATACAGGAGGCAGCCAATCAATGGTTCTCTCCCATCACTGATGTTTCTATCTCTCTCTCACTCTCCCTTTCTCTCTGAAATCAATAAAAATATTTCAAATAAATGGTCCTTTTTAAAAAAAACAAAAACAGACACTATGGCTCTGTCCTGTGGATGCTGCCCCCACCCCTGCAAATGCTATAAGAGTAGAAGCTGCGTCTCTCTTGCCAAAACCACATTCCTGGCAGCAAGCCTAGTGTCTGACATAGTAGGTCAATAAAACGCTGTTTAAAAAAAAAAAAAAAGCAGAGCCCTGATTAGTGTGCTTAGTGGTTAGAGCATCAGCCTGTGCAGATTCAATCCCCAGCCCCAGTAGAGCCCTTTCCCCAAGCTGGCATGTGACTCTCAGTGAGCCCACTCAGTCAACCTCCAGGGATGGAAGGGATGCTGACTCTTTGTAGAACTCAGCTGAACCTACTGACTTACACACACAGGCAACGTCTACTGAAGAACAGAACTTCGTACACCGGAGTCACCTTCAGTGCGTGAGATTCAATGAGACCTTCATCCTGGAGGCAGCTGAGGAAAGAGCAAATTCCCTTTTCTCATCTTATACTCCCTCGGGGGCAGATGCTCACTGAAGGCAGTGGCAAGTGAAATCACTAACTCTATTTAAATTATGTTTCCTTCTCTCTCCCCTTTTGTGCCAAACACATATCGTTGAATTTGAGCAAGATAAATGCACAGTCTGATGAAGCTTGAAACCTCCACAGCAAAATAGAAAGGCAAAAATTCTTTTGGTGATACACCTATCCAATTAGTATTGTGTGTGGTGGGGAAATTCACACCATCCAGTACGCAAAGCTGCTGGTGTGGAAAACCTTTAACATTCCATCAACTGGTCAGAGCTATCACCCTCGGCCGTGTTCCCCAGAGTGGAAGGACTGGCGTGGCTTTCACCGTCTTTCACCTCATTCCTCTTATGCTGACTAGCGGGGTAGGTCGCTACACCCACCGGCTGAAAGAGTGAGATGGAGCAAGGCAACCTCTCTACCATGAAACCGACAGGAACAACTTCTTGGATTTTTGGATGCCCAGAGCTGATCTCCAGACCAGCATCTGTCCAGGTGAGCAACCAAACCTGCCTCCTCCAACACGCCAGACTGAAAGCAAGCCCTGGGTCCTTCCACATCAAAGCAGCACGTGCCCTCTCCTTTCCAGAGCAAAACACGTCACTTTGAATGCCACCGAAATAAACACATATCCCCCTGTGCCACTGGGACCGCTCTGGAAATGTTCTATTGAACCTATGACTTACCATCCAATCCTGTATATAAGGGACAGGATTCTTTACCAACAAAACCGCGTTGTTAAAACAAAGCGCGATTGGACGCCTCTGCAGTCCTGCTGCGGCCCTGTGCCCACGCTGCATACTTCTAACACAGCTCCTCTCCATTCTCCTCGGAAAAGCAAGCTTTATCCTTGTGCATGGGGACTGACCTCGAGCTTCTTTAACATACTTTGTGGAAGTAGCCAAAACAATACAAATTAACGATGCACTGTGAATATCAACACTGTCTATAATGGAAAACTGAGGTCACTAGGAGAACAAAATTGTATTCAGAAACTCTTAACTGGGCACCTGCTGGTGTTACCTGCTGTGCCAAGTGCTGTGAAGGGTAGATACAAAGATGAACCACACAGAGTTTCTGTCCCATCTCTTCCCTTCCCCCTGGAAGGTATATAGTCTACAAAGTGCCTTAAGCCAGCAATTCGCCATAAATAAACCAACAAGAGAAACACTAACTCTGGGCAGGAAGTTGATTACGATTGGCTAGTGACTCGTTCAAATGTTCCCAGGAGAAAGAGTCTGACTCATCAATTCATTTTTCCCAACACACACAATGGGTTCAAGTAACAGCATCTAGCTGCTGGGAGAGAAGAAAACCCAAGACAGCAACAGAGGAAGCGAGATATTTTACTATGCCAAGCACATTAAGACATGGTTCAGAATGGTCTGAATACTCACTGTTCTTCTTGTACATCAAAATTTCAAAGGAATTCATCTCATAGTTCTCAAATGTTTGCCGCACCTTTTCAATTGTATCTTTATCAGTCAGCTCCCCGTACATAAAACTGCAAATCAACAAAAGAGCTCAAGTTAGATTAGCAAATATTTCTTATTCTACCAGCATATATTAAATATCTGTTCTATACCTAGCACTGTGCTCTGTAGTACACACACACACACACACACACACACACACACACACACAGAAAACATTCAAAAAGGATTTATTAATTCAACTGTGATCAAGACTCCATCACTATTCCCCAAAATAAACAGACTCATAAGAAAGACACACTGGAGAAGAGTAGATCAGAAAACAGTATGACAACACATAAGGAATCAGGCAACACAGAACAATCACAGAGCACTCTCTGAGTGGTCAGAGGAGGCCTCCCAGAGGTAAGGGCAAAGGAGATCTAAAGAGAAAGTGGAAATTAGCAAGGAAAGAACATTCCAGGCAACAAGTGAGCATGTGCAAAGGCACAGAGATGAGAGTGAGGTTAACTCTGGAACTGAGTGCAGTTCAGTCCAGGGTGACTGGAATATAGACCATGAGGGGAAATGTGCAGCAGATGACACAAAGAGGTAAGCACAGCCCGGTCATGGAGGAGAGCATGGCCTTAGAAGCCATGAGTAATTTAAACTTCATCCTGAAAGAACTCTTAGGAAAGATGCAGAGGAAATTGACCACAGACTTTTCTTCTTCTAATTCACAATAAAAATAAATACAAGTTTGGGGGGGGGGGGGGAGAATCACAAAAGGTCTCCAATCAAATAAGAAAAGAGATGCAATTTGATGTTCTAAACATTAAGACAGAGTTAAAGAACCAGAAGATTCAGCCACTAATCCATGCAGCTGTTTTCCTACCCTCTGCCCCCTCAAAAGAAGAGGGGAAGCATTGAGTTAAAAAATTGATGATGAAATCCTACAAATTCTCACTCCTTCCTGCTCACGTTTAGAGAAAAGTAGACGAAGCGGGTAAAGCAACAGCATGGGGAAAATTAGAGAAAACTCCTAGAGGGCAGAAACTCCTGCCTACTCGTACTGGTTCTCCGCAGAGGCAGAAACTCTGCCAGAACTTTCCATTTTCCTGGTCCCCACTAACTATGGTCTAAAGAGGAGGGTTTGTCCCTCCAGGGACAGGATACACCCCAACGAGGCAGAGCGAGCCACGGCACAGGACATTAACAAAATGAAAGAGACGAAAAGCTATTTCTCAATGGAGCTGGAAAAGCCAGTCTTCTGACAAAGGCTCCCCATAGATGCAGGGACCATCTATCCTGCCCACCCCAGGCCTTCAGGCAACAATAACAAAGACAGCAACACTCAGCCCCCGAGTCTCAGGGAAGGTGGAAGCAGTGGCGTGGGTTCCTAAACAAGGCACTCCCCGTCTTCTAAAATTGTGCGTACCACATGCGAATCTAACTGGTTCTTGATGACTTGCTGCATCGTAGCATTTCAGAGCTAAGAAGAACCTCAGAGGATATGGAGTGCAAGTCCTGAACCACCAAGTCGGGCGCCATGCTTAGCTTGATCCTGGAGCGTCCTTGGGCTTACTGCGGGCTCCTGTGAGGAAAGTGTCCTAGCTGTGGACTTTATGAATCCGTGTCACCTTGATTATGTCCTTTCCCAGCCCAGAGAGAGCTGTTATTACCTGTGGTTCCCCTAAGCCTAGCTCTTGGTCTTTGGGTGTGCTCTTCATCTATAAACCAGCTTGTTGAATTATCTTTAAAAAAGAATAGATCCAGACTGAATTAGCCCTGCCAAGAACAAGAGGATTCCTCCGAGGGGCTAACAACTTCAGCTCTATGACCATTTTATTTAGCCGGTTGTTCAGAGGAAGCTTTGTGAGCTTCCTCCCACTTTCTCCGAGTTAATTTGCTAGATAAGTGACCTCCATTTAAGTGATGCGATGCCGGCTCTAAATGCCGGCAATTTACTTCACAAGATTAAACAAATGCCCGTAGAATGGAGTCTTCAAATAAACGAAGGCCCATAATGACACCCAGCTTTCATTCTCTGATGATGTACTTTCTTAAGCTGTAGTGTAAGATGCCTTTTCCTGGGCATTCTACTTCAGATGCCTGCAATGCAAGAATTAAGCGAAAGAGACTCCTAGCGGCGAGGAGTACTGGTATAGCTGGCACGAGGTAGGTTTACCTTATTTCTGGAGAAGGGACAGCTTCAGGAAGGGATAGCTTCAGGGAGCTTCTTAGGATCGTACGGTATGTTTGTTTTTTGAAGTTGGCTAAATGAGCAAATTTACCTGATTTTCTTAAAGTATCTGATTATAACCAATAAGAAGCAAGAAAGGGAAGGAAAGGCCGCTCAAGTCCCACGAGAAAGTGAAGCTAACTCTCCCAATTAGTTCTGATGGCATATGTGCACATGCAGATGTGGATCTAGACATAGACACGCAAGAGGATGAAAGCATACCACGACTGTAAGAGGATTCTATTGTATTTACTTAAGAGTTATAATTTCTTACTCTTTGAGCATTGGGCATGGGGGATCTTAAACTTTCTATTTCCCAGTCCCCAAAACCTAAAGTTTAAGAAAATAATAATATTTTCAAAACATTTCATACTTTTCACCAAACTAGTTGCTTGGCTGACTTCCTAGCATGAAAATGCATCATCTCTGAAAACCAAAAACGATGCCTGGGTCACAGCGTTTTCCCCGCTTCGTAGATGAGATTGTTTCTTGAGTTGGAAGGATTAGGAAAATGATTCCGCTTCTTGCAAACACACTGAAGGCAGAGGACTCAGGAAAAAGAGGGGAGTGAGAGGAGCCTACGGCTGTGCTGAGCCCAGCCCTGCCAGGGCTCGCTCTGCAGGGAAATGCAAGGCAGGAGGCAGGATCCGTGTTCCACTCAACACCTTAAAGACACTTTGAAAGAGCTGTGCTAACACCACTGCCCAAAGGTGCTGCTTGGTAAGGAACCCTGTCCAATACACAAGCTGAACAGTTAGCACCATGTGCCTCTGCCTTTGAGTTAGGGATCAGAGAGAGCTGTAACAAGAACTGGAAGGCAACAAAATATGGGTTCTCTTCTCTTTTTCTGATGCAAAGCTCTATGATCAAGGCACTTGTTTCCAACACCGTATTCTCTAAAATAGCCATAAATCCTAAAAATTAATCATCTAAAATTTCATTTCATTTTATTTAATCTTCTAACTTTCACATCCAGTTTTATCTAAAACCTTATCAATTTCTGAGTTCACATTTTATAGATAAAATGATTTTTCTGAGTTTTTCTAGGTTCCCCTCCCCCCTCCCACCCCCAATCTTACTGACTGGGAGTTCAGCAGTTGTGGGACTTCGGCAGTTTAAGTCTTTGATTTTCCCAATACAGTGTGTGACATGGAGATGATATTGCCATAAATATTCCTGAATAAACACTGAATGAGAGAAAGGTAATTCCCACCCTGAGTAAGCCATTTTCTTTTTCCAAAAGATGCTCTGATAGGCTGTCCAACAGAACAGGCCCAATGATAAATACCTGCAGGTACTGCTTTTTTGCATAACTTCTGCCCTGTGATAGCCAGAGAGCTTGCAAAATCCATCATTGCTGTACACGATAGGCCAATCCACTATCTGCGCGTTCCCCAACACAAAATTAGTGTCTGTTAAAAAAAAAGAAGAAAAGGGCACATTACTTGCGATTCAATGAGGACATAAATAATGTCAGCCATACCAGGTAACTTTGCTTCCATCCATAATAGTCTCTTGAATAAGAAATTGACTCTTCAAGGAATCCAAAAGAACAGTGATTTAGAGTGAATCATCTGAATGCAATTGCTAAGGTTACTATACCCCAAGAAGAAGTTAGCAAAGGAAACATGGTTCATCAACTAACCAACCAACAGATCCTGTAGCAATCCAGGGATTCCCAAGAGACATTTTCCAGTCTGAATTTTTTATCTCAATGAAAGTATTCTGGTAATATGAAACAAGAAAGATACCAAGATAATTTCTCTGGGCTCCATCCAGCATCTTCAGCTTGTCAGTCTTTGGGCCAGAAGCTACAAATTGACCTCCGTGACCCTGATTAACATTTGCCCATCCTTGGAGGTTTGATTTCTGGTCAGGGCACACAGCTAGGTTGAAGTTTTGATACCCAGTCAGGGTGCATACAGGAGCCAACCAATCATTGTTTCTCTCTCACATTGATCTCTCTCTCTCTCCCTCCCCCACCCCCACCCCTCCTTCCCTTCCTTTCTCTCTAAAAATCAATAAAAATATATCCTGGGTGAGGATTTTTTAAGTGAGTAAAAATTTAAAATTCAGCATAAATATTAGAAGATAAAAAAGGAATAAAAGATAAGAAACATAAGAAAAAAATAAGACTTAGAAGGTCAATCCAAGAGGATCAACATGCAACCTAATAAAAACAACAGAAAGAATATGGGAGAAGGCCAGAAGACTTTTTAAAATTTTTAAACAATCAAATGTGAGGATAGAATAATGATATTTTCAAGTATGCAAAGACCCAGGTAATTTATTTTCCAGATATCCTTTCTTGAAGAGTTACTTGAGAATGTATATCGGCAAAAATGTGAAAGTAAAGGAAGAAAGAAGACAGCAAGGGAAGTAGGGGAAAATGGCTCCAAGTGTAGAAAGCAGGGGGAACTAATAGAAATCAGTCCATACACAATGGTTCAGAGAACAGACGTTTCGGAAGGGAGTTATATAGGAATAAACAACATAAAAATTCAATAAAGGTATATACTTTGGAGGGCAGGAAAAGAAATTAGAAGCATCAAAAAAAAAAGCTGTGCAAGAAAGGAAATCAAAATACACTATGTCACATTATTGTCATAATTATAAACATCTTAATTTCCAACTTTTAAAACCAGCATAGTCAAGCATGGAATATCTAATTAGTAAGTATCTGAATATAACCTCATCAATTCTGACACTGTAAAAATACAAATGATAAGCTTAGAGAAATAAAAGAGAACAATCATGAGGTGGTATCTAGAGTTGCTATGATAAGGTATTAATATTTTACTTAAAATTGCAAAAATAACCAATAAGGGAGCAATATAATCTTAGGAGGTAGAAATTAAATAAAGTGAGCTAAAACCTCAGCTAAATTAACAGAAGCCACGAGATATCTAAAATTAATAAATCTAGAAATAGTTGTGATGCATGTTATTTAGAGACATGGAAGAAACTGTAAGAAGAAACAGCTAAAATTAGAACATGTGGTCTTTGGTTAGCAGAATGGGCAAAGGGACAAGGTATAGGATGTCTGTTTCCTTTATAAGCTCTTCAGTTTGACTTTTTAACCATGAGCAAATATTACTTTCATAAAAGTAGGTATATTCTTAATTTTTAATGAATTTAATCAGAAAAAATTAAGTTATTGATTAAATTTTTCATTTACTAAAAAAAAAATAAAACCAGGATATATTTCAGGTTCCAGATATTATTGTAATTTCTCATGAAATATTCTGTTGATCCTTTAAAGGTATTCATCATTCCTCAAGCATTCCCACTGTCCCTGAGGTGCATATTCACCTACAGTTTTATTGGAGAGGAAGCAGGTAAGCCCACTAGCATTTTCCTTGACTTTAGAAAGGAACCAAAAAGATAGGAAGTGCTGCAAGAATAGAATCATCAGCCTATTGACCATCCACTCAGAGGATTTCTCATCATAGAATTTAAAATTCCAAAGCAGTTTATCTACTGCTAACCCAAGCAAGAAATGAGAGCTTGCAGGGAGCAAGATCCCATGATGTGACAGAAGGTCTAGGCATTCCCTCGTTATCCAAGGACTTGAGCCAACAGAAGAAAGAATTCTAGTCCCAGTCAGAAAGCCATCTGTCTCCAACAGGAAAGAAATTCATCCTGGCCCACCTGCCATAGCCCATACATGTGACCCCCCCACTCTGCTCGGCTGGAAAGGGGGCATATTCTGGATTGCCTTCAACTTATGAACTACAAATAATTGACCTGAAAATTACCTTCCAGAACACAAGATGATACAAGATCAGAGACACCCATACAGATGTCGTAATGTCATATATAGCATCAGGAACTAAGGGATTCCACATAAGCTATATTCCACATATTACTGAGAATGGGTAGCATTTATTGATATTTACTTTGTGTCAGGCTCTGTACTAAGTACTTTATTATATATTAAGATTTTTTTAAGCTTTACAACAACCTTTATGAGGGGGTATTACTTAACTGAATGTAGTGTCATGGATTTCATTTATTCATGAAGAAACTGAGCTTCTGAGGAATAGAGCAGATGAGAGTGGGGGTTGAACTTGGATCTGTCTCGCTTCAAAATCCATGCTTTTAACCATATGTTACAGATTCTCCTTCGTATCCCATTTCAAATACTACAATCAGACCATTTCTATGAAAATCTTTGTAACACCTAATATTTATGTGCCTTCCTATAGAAACACTAAGTATAATAAGATCTTTCATTGATGAGTCAACATTCCCAGTATTGTCATCATATATTATGACTTAGCTTATGATACACAAGGATGCCCTCAGGAAATACTGACATGGGTAGGAGTAATGGTTTCCTCCTATAAATGCTTGGCCTCTCCTGTCAGTCTTTTTTTTTTTTTTTTAATATATTTTATTGCTTCTTTTTTACAGGGAGGAAGGGAGAGAAATAGAGAGTTAGAAACATCAATGAGCGAGAAACATCGATCAGCTGCCTCCTGCACACTCCCTCCTAGGGATGTGCCCGCAACCAAGGTACATGCCCTTGACCGGAATCGAACCCGGGATCCTTGAGTTCGCAGGCCGATGCTCTAGCCACTGAGCCAAACTGGTTAGGGCTCCTGTCAGTCTTTGCAAGGTTTTGTCTCTTCCTTCACTTACAAACTATAGTCTCTTCTTAAAATTTAGTATTCCTATAACAGTCCTGCTTCCACACAGTGACAGGAGAGGAGGAGGGACAGGATTGGAGGAGGAGAGGGGAGAATTTGTGCCTGGATCCCCATTTGAGACTCAGGGGTGGAAGAGAACACCCATCAGCAACTCAAAGGTGCTGCACAGCAAACCTGGCTGTGTTAGCACCACTGAGCCTCCCTCAGCTCCCATGGGGTCTGCAAAGAACCCAGAAGCTCCCTACTGCCCTGCTACTGCTGCTGCTGAAGTTGCATGAACAGATAGATGGTTATCACAGTGGAGTAAGGTGAACAAAGGCCATGTCTTATCAAACCGCCCAAGGCAAGGATCAACTTGGGGGTTCAGGCAAATATCAGAGGTGAGCTGCAGCACCAGTGAGAGCCTGGATTATCAAGTTACAGAGAAGGGGGGGGGGGGGAGAGAGGATATGTGTAGGATTGGGACAGGACACCAAGTTCTTTTCAAAGAATGGAGCACAGGTTCACCAGCTGCACCCTTGAGCCCATAGATCAGTTGCTCACCGAGTGACCAGCACGCCAGGGCTATTGCTAAAGACCCAAGAAACTAGAGGGAAGAAATAAAGCTTTGCATCTGGAGACCTGAGGCCCCAGAGGCTAGGCTAAGTGCTTGCCTCCACCCCACACACCATCTTGGAGAGAAGCAAGGGGATGGGTAGAATTGGCATCTGAACCCAAGAGAGACCCAAAAAGATTATTTAAAATGGAAGACCTTGAGATACCACTAACTGGGCAGTTCAGAGCCCACCATACCTAGTCTCCCCTTGCTGTTTAGTGAGGTGGGACTTTTTAAAGGAGAGAAGATCCGTTAAGTAAAATAAAGAAGTGAATCTAGGTGGATCTGAGTCCAATTTGCCAGTGGCCTACTGTGAAGCACCAAGCCTGCCACCAAATTCACATTGCCTACACTGAACAAGTCCCTCCCACATTGTTGAGTAAGATGTGTGGGTTCAACCTGGCTGCCCTCGCTGTGATTTACTGGCTCTCATCTCAAAGTTCCCTGTGTCTCCAGCCTTTGATGCAAATGAGTCAGCGTCTCCCGCCTCCCTCTGATCCTTTCTACCCCCTGAGGGTCTTTAGCTGCAAAGAGTGTGTGCAATCAAATGTAAGGTTTCCTAAATTCAACCTCCCTCAGCCCACACACAGTTTTCCTCCTCGTAGGATAAAACAAACATTTCTCTGAAAATTGGAAAGACTCCCCCCCCCCCCCCCCCCCCCCGCTCCCCCATAAAGCTTCTTCAGCTGATAGGGCATGAGCCAGGCTACGCTGCAGTAGTCAGATGTGTCAAAATCATTCCAAACCTACCATTTGCCCATAAAACATAACCCAGAGATATTCTAAAAAGAAATTATTAGAAAATAGCTTTCCATCCTAATTACCACAAATAGCAAAGGAGAAACTAACCAAAGCAATGACTTAGAAAAGTGACTCGGTTTGGGCAATTACACAGATAAAAGCTACATTCAGCAGGCGGTTGACACAACCCTGGTTATTCAGGGGGCTACAGTAAAGACTCCACAATGTGCTTCTAATAACTTCAGATAGTTTTACTTGCAAGAGAATCCTTTGCAATGTTATAGATTCCTAAGGGTATCAGTGCTTTTACAAAAAGCAAATTGGAGTAAAAAAAAATATATTTGCCTTTATTTTAGGAAAATAATAGAAAACAATAGAAAAATAATGATGGAGATAAAGGAAGAGAACAAGAGGTTTGTCTCTG